TCTCTCTCTCTCTCTCTCTCTCTCTCTCTCTCTCTCTCTCTCTCTCTCATATCTGGGTGAAATCAGACTGAAATGAGCATTAGCCCTGAGGGAATGAGATGCTGTGACATGTAAATAGAAAGCTGGGTGTGTGAGCAAGAAAGATGCTGTTCCTAGGCAACCAGCCTGTCCAGCCCTAGTTTCCTTGGTGATGATGGAGCAAGGGTGTGGAGGCGGTTTGTTTTATATAATGATCTCATTTTTTTCTCCTCCTCCTTCTCTTTAAAGGAAGAGCTGGAAGGGATCATCTCATGCTGCCCCTTCCCTGCCTTACTGCCCATTTCCAGTCTTTTGGATTTGGAATCTGACAGACAGAGAAGGCTCTGCTAATTCCTGTGTGCCTCTCAGCAAGTTCCTTACTTCTCTAAGCATCAGGTTCTTTAACTGTGACATGTATATGAAAGTAAGGCAAAGCAAGCACAGCACAAAGCTTGGCATCTAGTGAGTATTCAATAATGTGAGCAATGGTTGGGCCAAGAGTCATGCACCAAGTTGGTGAGTCAGAGTGGATTTGCCTATCACAGCCTTAGCAAGGACCTTGTCTGGAAGGCCCCTGAAAGCAGGGCTGGGATGGCAAAGAGAAACAAAGACAGAGACACACAACGCCCTTCAGCCTTGGCCTCCTTCCTTCACCCCTCCAGTTTCTCTGTATTGGAGAAGCTCTCCCTGATGGTGAAGGAAACCCCAAATCATCACATTCAGAGAAACCGAGTGGCAAGCTGGGCCACGACTGCTGGAGGCCAGCCCTCCAGGACGCCTCCTGCTCACCGTGGACGTCGATGACTGTGAGGGCCCCCAGAGTCAGTCGCGCTCCGCTGCTCAGTTTTCCGCGCACCAGCTCGACAATCTGTGCAATCTGCTCATTGCTCTTTCTCAAAAACTCCTGGTGGGAAACAGGAGGTGACGACTGGCTACACGGGCTTCCTCCTCACAGCCCTTACTTCAGCTACCGGTGTTAGGAGCGCAGGGCCCAAGAGAGGCTCCTGCGTGTCATTTCCCCTCACTCCAGCCACAGCCTCAAGATGAAGCTTACACTCATTATGTTAATTGAAAGGGGCCACATTTTGAAGACTACACTGTGCAGTTTTACTTTTATAAAATTATGAAAAGTCAAAACTATAGAGGCAGGAAAGTGATAGGCAACTGGCCCAGGGTATGAGCTGACTAGAAAGGGCACAAGAAGACCTTTGTGGGTGTGTCCAATGTCTTGGTCATGTTGATGGTTACATAAATGCACACATTTGTCAAAACTGAGGACTATTGTTAAAAATGTTTAATTTTACTGTACATGAATTATATAATGAACTGGAATAAATCAACAAGAATTCTGAAGTTTTTTTTAGATTAAGAGACAAATAAGTATAAAAACAAAATGCAACATGCAATTCTGAATTGGATTGTGGACCAGAAAAAAACATATACATTTAGTGAGGGCAATTGGCTAAATTTAAAGAGTTGACAGATTATATAATATTTTATGAGTGTGGTTTTCCTGATTTGGATCATTTTACTGTGGCTATGTAAGATGGTAGCATCTGGGGAGTCTGGATGGAGAACAGACAGGAATTCTTAGCACTATTTTTGCAAAATTATTTGTAAGCCTGAAACAATTTCAAAATGAAGAGGTGAAAAACAAAAGTGATTTTTTTTTAAAGGAAAAGAAATATACCATATTAGATTCAAATTCCACCTGCGTGCTTTCTAGCTATGTGGTTCTGGGCTAATGGCTCCTGTTCTGTCAAATCTAGACAATTACAGCTGCTCCTGTAAAGCTCTTTGGAGGATTAGGTGAGATTATGCATGTGAAGCACTTGGCACAATGACTGATGTGAGTGAAACCTCAGTAGTAAGCAGTGGTTATTATTCATAACGGAACACCTAGAACATCGCGAAGGCGGCGGTGCGTCCCCACATCTCTCCCAACCGAGCCACTCCACGGACACTCTAGATCAGAGTGCCCACGGGGACTGGGCTGCACCGTGCTGCCTTCCTTCTTCCCTCCCCTCCTCTCTCCCTCCCCCTTGAACCTGCCCTCCCTTCCCTTCCCCTTGCTCCCCTTCCCCTCCCCTCCCTGCTCCCCTTGCATTCCTGGTGCGGGGGATGGAACCCAGGCCATGCGCTTGCTGGACAAGCTCTGAGCTACACTTTCAGCTCACCATGCTTTCCATTTTCCAGGTCTTGTCCATTCCATTTCCTCTCTCTGAGATGCTCTTCCTTTTCTGGTTGGCAAGTCCCCACTGGTATTTTAGGTTTCTTCTTAGACACAACTTTTATGAGGAATCTTCCCTAATCCCAGTCCCACTATCATATCCCTCCAGCCCCTTCTCACTCCTTGAATGTCTCTTCTTTCTTTAACCCAGTTCTATATAAGATCTTTTGTTACAGATTTCTCACTAGACTAGTCCATGTGGAAAGGCAAAATACCTGTCTCATTTGCCTTTAATTTCATTTGCCTAATAGTAACCCCAACACAAAGAAGATGCTAAATGTTTGCTAAATGAATAATGAATGGATAGGGGTGTTATTCTGTGCTAACACCTGAATTTTTTAGAATACCAATGCAAGTCACTCAGCATAAATGTACTCCAGGTTTGTATGCATGGTGAGAAATACTGTCCCTGGCTACAGGTAGGAAAAACGGGGGATACGGTCACAAAGTCAGAAGTTTTAGAAGTTTGGACTGATACATGTTTTTGCAGTTTACGAATGTGAAGTGCAATATATCTACTAGAATCTGCACAAATTTGAAACTTGGTCAAGTACTGGTGTTCTAATTTTAATGTATAAAGCCAAATGTAGTAAAATATGTCCTGGTCCTCAGCCAATACTCTAGAAAGGAATAATAGGGACCAATGAAACAATCAGAGGAAATTATACTATGGGAGAAAAGTTGGAATGGAGTCATCCTTCATGTATGCAATGAAGATTTATTAAGTGCCTACCGAGTGCATGGCACTGCCTCATACCCTGCGCTGTCGCAGTGAGCACGACAGTAAGGCCTCTTCTCTACAGCGTTTAAGGGCTAACATTGAGATACCGAATACCGTCACTGGCATCTTGTTTAATTCTCTCACCATAATGGAATGTGACAATTTCTTGCATTTTTTCTTGCATTTTAGAGACAAGGATACTAAGACTCAGGTTAAATAAAGAAATATGTTAGCATTTGAACTCATATCTATGCAACTTTAGTGCTCTTCAGCACTGGCATCCGTTGGCTGGAGTGATGTGTGTTTGGTCTGAACATAACCAGATAGTTGAGTATCCTTTGTTCCAAGAGAAAACTGAAGAAAAGGCTGGGTGTGGTGAGAAGGGTCAGGTGCACAGAAAGAGAGGAAAACAATGGTCTCCTGGCCTAGGAACAGGATGGGGATCTCTGCTAGTGGGCGTTCCCCCAAGTTGACCCCTGGAAGCAAAGGTTGATAAAACCTAGAATAATACGGCCTAGAATTTCTACCTGGGAGCTGCTGAAGCAGCCTTACACTGCAGATCCCTCTGGCATCTTCAGTTCCAAATCTCTACTCACTGTCCCTGTGAGGACTCTGGCTTCTGTGATGCCATAGATCACATTAATTGTGCTTAGAGAGCAGAAGGTGCCTGCTCAGGTTATGCGCCACCACATCCTGGTCAATGCCAGGCTCACGGCAGGCTCACTTACCTGCAGGCTATTTTGCACGAGGGCTTCGGACACCTCCTTAGTCCAAAAGATGGAGGAGACACAGATAACTACCTGGCCAGGCCACTGCAAGACCCAGCTGTTCCGAGGGACCTAGAAATGGGGAGTGGAGTTTGTTGAAAGATCTGTTTACTGTGTGTAGTTTAAATTGACTTTCTAAACACATATTCGACTGCTTCAACCCCATCAATGAAGACAAAATTCTTTCTCTCCCTCAGATGTTATGAGCCTTGACATCTTGTGATTAGTGATTTATGCCTTCCTCCCTGAAGTTTATGAAAAACATCATTAACCATTTCATCAAATGCATTTTCTCGTGCTCCCATCAGTGATTTTTTAAAAATAGTTATGGTCAAGATAGTGTCCAGGGAAGATCCATAACTGTTCTTTTTAGTGGCTCCATAATATTGTAATGCTATGCCACAGTTTTCTTAGACCTGTCCACCTTCCCCAATTTTTTTCTTAAACTCTGGATCAGAAATACACAAATACTTCTGTTTTTTAAATAAAGTTTTATTGGAACACAGCCATACTCACCATTTACCTATTGTCTATGTTGGAATTATGCCACATTAGATCACTGCTGCAGGCAAAGTAAAATAGTTTCAATGGGAGTGTTGCCCCCGGAGACAAAAATACTTAGCACCTGGACTTTTACAGAAAAAGTGTGCTGATTCTTGCCATTGATTTGTTTGCCTTAAGTAATTTCACACTAGTAAATGTTTCTTTAATTTTTTATTTAAAACACATCACAGGAAAAATAATTGACCTCTCATTTACAATAGAGACTCCTATGAAGGACAGCAGGGTCTCTCTCTTAACACTTCATGATGAGGGTGTTAATTGAACGTTTTGTTTGATGGAATGAGTCCTGGGAGTGAAGCAAAGGCCTGGAGGTAACAAGAGGCAAGTAAAGCAGAGGGGACAAAATTCAGAGTCAGCCAAATGAACCATGTTAATGGTGACTAAAGTGTGGTGACAAGTTCTTTTAGGCTTTATGTCAACATTTGTTTTCCTCAAAGCTTTGGAAACTTAATGAGTTATGCCATCCAGGGCAAACATAAGTGAGTGCCATTAATTTTATGCAGCAAACAGAAAGTTCTTTCTAATTTCTTCTTTCACCTGCTTCTAAGAGCAAACATTTCACCTAAAATATGATCACTGGCCGAGGATTTATAGGTAAAGGACAGAGAGGCACAGAGGGACCAATAGAACTGATCCATTTACCATTATTCCCAAAGTTTCCTTAGGACACCAATACCCTGACATGCATACTCCAGCCCTCATTTACCTTGACATACGCTCCAATCCCACGGCCAGTGACTTCCCGCATGCTGGCAAGCATCATCTGCTCCACCTGCTGCAGCCACTTTTCCACCATTCCCTGTGGGGCAGCACAGGGGGAGGCAGCCACAGTCAACCACAGCTTGGCAGGGTCTGGGGAGGAGCGCAGCTCTGCCTCTGGTCAAGGTGGGGGAGAGACCAAAGGTCTCCACAGTACCATGTTACTAAAATATTTGCGTTTATTTACAGTTCTATAGGAAGCCTACCTACAGGAGCAATAAGATATGTTTAACATGTATTTTTCATATCATTTTCTGAAATAACCTCTCAGGAAGCAAATGAAATATACATATTTAAGTTAATGAAGTAAGTTACTCCCTTTTAATTGTTTCTAACAGACATTATTCCCCGAGTTCTCCAACTTTGCTGTGTACTGGGATCATCTGGAGATCTTTCAGAAAAACAACGCTTTCACTCCAGACATTCTGATATAATTGATATGGGAACCACCCCAAGTGTATGGATTGTGTTTAAAGCTCCACAAGTAATTTGCAGCAAATTGTTCAGTTTTAGGGTTTCAGATTATTGTGGCTACTTCAGGCATTTGTAATGTGATTAGTGGACATCTGGTTTCATGACAAACTATTAGTTGTTGCAGCTTGTATGGGTGGGTAGCAAAAATAGTCAACAGAGGGAGGCTAACGGTGCTTGTTTATCTCTTCTTGAGGGTGCAGCCCTGTTTAACAAAAATGGAACAAATTTACAGTGTACTCATGATAACAAAAATAGGAGCTAGGTATGGAAGTATAGATTTGTAATTTGAATGCTCTGGAAGGCTGAAGCCAGAGGATCATGAGTTCAAAGCCAATCCAGGCAATTTAGCAATTTAGCAAGACCCTGTATCAAAAATTAAAAAAGAAAAGTGCTAGGGATGAAGTTCAGTGTGGAGGCCCTGGGTTCAATGCCAAATTAAACAAAAAAGGAGACATATGTATGAAAACCTAAGTTAAGTAGCATCAGATCTCTCATTCATTTTGTGGATGTCTTATTGGCCTTTAAAAACAAGCACCTCCAGAGCTAGACAAAACTTTCTTCAAATTCATTTGGAACAAGAAGAGACCCAGAATATCAAAAGAAATCCTGGGAAACTAAAGAAAGGGAGGAGGTATCACAATTCCTGACCTGAAATTACAATATAAAGCTGATTTGATTTGTGATCAAATTATCATGGTACTGGCATAGACACAGACCTGAGGATCAATGGAACAGATTAGAAGATGGACTAACAACTGCAAACACATTCAGCCACCTTATCTTTGACAAATAGGCCAAACAGGCTCACTGGAAGAAAGATAGCCTCTTTAATAAATGGTGCTGGAAAAATTGGCTTTCCATATGCCAAAGCTAGATCCATGCCTATCACCATGCACAAAGCTAGTATCAAAATGGATCAAATATTTAAATATTAAAACAGAAACACTAAACCTTCTGCAGAAAAATAAAGGTAGAAATCTTAAAGACATTGGGGTAGGTAGAGAGTTCATAAACAAAAACCAAACTGCATGGGAAATACTTCAAAGAATCAACAATTTGGATCTCATCTTTTTGAAAAGTTTCTGTACTTCAAAACAAATTTCCAACAGAGTAAAAAGAAAACCCACAAACTGGGAAAAAATTATAGCTGACTATTCCTCTGACAAAGGCCTTTTATCTATAATATATAAAGAATTTTAAAAATCAGACCTCTTAAATTCAAAGACAAAATCAAAAAATGGACATCTGAGATGAATATACACTTTTCAGAGAAATAAATACAAATAGCAAATAAATATATGAAAAAATGTTCAACATCATTGGTCATTTGAGAAATGCAAATTAAGACACCGAGATTCCATCTCACCCCAGAAAGAATGGCTAACATCAAGAGGTCATCTCACAAATGCTGGAGAGATTCTGGAGAAAAAGGAATGCTTCTTCACTGTTGGTGGGAGTGCAGACTGTACAACCACTGTGGAAGTCAGTGTGGAGATTCCGTAAAAAGCTAAGATTGGAGATCCCGTTCAATCCGGCTATTCCCCTCCTGGGTATTTTTCCAGAAAAACTGAAAACCTCATGCCACAGCGATATACCTGTACCCATGTTTATAGCAGTGCAATTTGTCATAGCTGAATCCTGGAAACAACCCAGATGCCCATCAACTGAAGAATGGATGAAGAAGATGTGGTATTTTTACACAATGAAGTGTTACTCAACTATAAAAAAGGATAAATTTGAGTCTTTTGTTGGTAAATGGATGCAATTAGAGAACATACTCTTAAGTGAAATAAACCAAACCCGCATGTGCAAACATCGTATTGTCTCATTAGTGTGACAGCCTGAAAGAGAAAAACAGAATCTGTCCTTTTTTTTTTTTTTTTTTTTTTTTTTTCGGAACCAGGGATTGAACTCAGGCCCTTGAGCTTGCAAGGCAAGCGCTTACTCTACTGAGCCATCTCCCCAGCTCTGAAAAACAGAATCTGAAGGGTACAACAGATACTAGGAAAAGGGAATGAACTTATTCAAAAGGAAGGAGTTACTGAGTTGAGGAGAAGGATAGGAGAGGGAGTGGGGAAAAGAAATTTATCTAGGTATGTAAGCGGGATGGTTTGGACAAGTGTACTATGCATTTCTGCTGGCCTATGGAAAGGAGCCAACAATACTTAATTTGCTTTGTCTCCTTTTTTCCAATTGTTTGTATTTTTTGTCTTCTTAATTTCTTATACATTTATTTTTTCTTTCTTCTTTCAATTTTATATATATCTGGTAATATGAATAACTGGAAGACAGCACTATATATTATAGCAAATACTATGAAATTCATATTTGTTAAGTGAAATTCTGTTTCACTTTTAATTTTTTATTTTGATTCGAATTTGTACTCTCTTTAAAAAATAAAAATATAAATAAAAACAAGTGCTTCAGCAGGCTGGTCATCTGATTGGGTCACTTTTTAACTGGGTTGTGCACATGGAGATCTAAGCTATGTCGATTGCATCACATGCAGACCTCCTAGGTTTGAATTCTAGCTTGTTTATTTGCTTCTTTTGTACTTTTTGAACGAATTACTTTTTTTCATGTAATTCTCAATCCTGCCTCCACATCAAGTTTGTTTGAAATCTTTCTAAAGTTTAGTGTGTTATGTGGTTTACAGTATAATTCCCATTTTAGAGATGAGTAAACTGAGAGTTGGACAGATTGAGTAACTTTTTCCAGTCACCCAGTCATTAAGTTATGGAACCCACGTGTTCCATATCCAGAACAATAGTACCAAGGCATAACCAGTGGGCTGTGCATGGGAGCACAAACCTATAGTCCCAGCACTTATAAGGATGAGGGAGGACTGCTTAGGCTCCACGAGCAGACCCTATCTCCAAAATAAAAAACAAGCCAAATTTAACCAGCAAATTCTCACTCTCGCTCGCTCACACTCTCTCGCTCTCGCTCTCCCTTTCTCTCCCTCTCCTCCCCCTCTCCCTCCTTCCTTCCTTCCCTCTCTAACAAAAGACCCAAAACAAATAAGGGAAATTACTCTGGCATTTGCTGGGTAGATCTTCTGTATGAATGGAACAGTTTCTTTTTCAGAGCTGATCATGCCCAAGATTTCCAGATTGTCCGTAAATTCTAGCTTGGCAATTCCTTCAAAGCACTTCTTCAAGTGTGGCTGCACTCGGAGGGGGTCCTTTGTCTCAGACAAAATCTCCAGCAGCTCATCATTTGACAGGAAGAAAAACCTATTTCAAAGCAAAGGAAGATGTTCACTGGGACCTCTCTTGAGAACTTTTATTTTCAGCGAGCTGATGCTCCCTTGCAAGTAGATCGCACCCACGTGAATACCAGCTATGTCCTAGGGCTCTCTCTGAGGCCACTCTTCTTCCCTGCTTTTACATGCGGCATAAAAGGTGAAGACGGTTTTCATTCTGACAGCAAGAGAAAGGATGAAAATTGGCATATGTGGGTACAGCATGACTGGAGAGTAGAGAGCTACTAGTTGAAAGGAGCCTGGATAGATCTGGTGATCTGAACTTTGCTTGTACTTTAGGGTTACCTGGGGAGCTTCTAAAAATGTCTATGCTAAGCTTCTATTGCCTAGAGAATCTAATATAATTGATCTGGGAAAGGTCCAGGATAAATTTCTATTTTAAAAAATTCCATGTGATTCTAATGTACAGTGTTCAGAACTCCTGGGGAAAAGGGGGAAAGGGGAAAAGAAAGGAGAAGAGGGGAAGAGAAGAAAGGAGAGGAAGGTAGAGGGAAGGGATGACAGGGGAGGGAAAGGGAGGAGAGAAGAAGGGAGGGTAAGAGAAGAGAGAGGAAGAGAGGAGAGAAAAAGGGAGAAGAGGAGAGGAGAAGAGGGAGAAGAGGGCAGAGGAGAGCACAGGGGAGGGGAGGAAGAGGAGGGCAGGAAAAGAGGGAGAGAAAGGACAGGAGGGGGAGGAGAGGAGAGGTCAGGGGAGGAGAGGGGAGGACTGGTAAAGTCAGGACAGGAAGAGAGAAGAGGGGAGGGGAGGGGAAGAGAGGGGAAGGGAGAGGAGGAAAAGTGAGTAGAGGGGAGGAGAG